AAAAAAAAAGGTTGAAAACACAAAACTTGGAAAGGTATTATCTTGGTTGCTTTTCTCTCGTTGCTGAGACAAAATACCTAACACCCAGAATTGAGGAAGGAAAGTTTGTGGAGGTTTCAGTCCATATTCGGCTGGCTCCAAGGCAGAGTGGCCACATAGCAGAGGGTAGCAGTTCATGGAGGTGGAAAACAGCAAAACAGCAAGAGCAAAAAAGCAGAAGCAATGACAGCGGCAGCAGAGGCAGCAAGCCTCTCTCCTTCCCTTATACTGCACATCCAGGCTATCCACCCCAGGGCAGGTGCAGCACTCACACTCTTAATCCCAGCATTGGATTATGGATTAATCACAAACTCTAGAAGTCTGCCTTATGACTGCATGAGGCTTTGGAGGACAACTAGACACAGACCATAACTCTTTACAGATAAAATCAAACTGAGCAACGGATAAGGTAAATTTGACTTGAGAACTACTTTTTTAAAACCTCTGTTGCTCCCATGTGGCTAAAAGGGGCTGGAACATTAACTACATTGTCAAACACTTCACCTCCATGTGGGACCAGGTAAGAGCAACAAGCAGAAGAGAATTCTGGCAACCAGGGACAATGGGAAGAATAATTGATCAGTGATGCTTTCAGAGAAACTCTCACAAGGACAGGGCATATAAGACAACTTGTGAGCTGTCACAATCTTGATGCAGTCACTTGTTTTAACCTTACCAAAATAAAAATAGAACTGAGGTGGTAAAGAAGGGCTCCTGCATATAAATGCCTGATGATAGCAATTGAACGGACACTGCTAATGTCCTTAGTTTTTCCTGAGTCAATCTAAGAATAATTTAACAAGTCTTCCAGTAAAAAAAAAAAAAAAAAAATCAGCTCATAGGCACACCTTTAATTGCTAGTGCATTTTGTCTTCACCAGGATGCATCCATCAAAGTCTGTGCTTACATTTCTGATAGTTCAGATAATATATCTTTCATTCTCTTAAGGTCTCTGTAAATGAGTTTAAGTTATGTCTCTCCTATCCTCTCTTTAAACAGCTTCGTATGGAAATGGGTTTGGGGGTTTCTTGCGGTGGAAATAGCTTTTCACAATAGGGACAAATTTACTTATTAGGATCTAAAAAAAATATCTATGTAGTTCAGGCTTGCCCATGCTGGCCTTGAACTCATATTGATCCTCCTGCCTCAGCCTCTCAAATACTGAGGTTAAAGATGTGCCACAACACCTGGCAGAGCCTTGCATCTTTACCTGCTTATGTCAGTTTGTGTCTTTTAGGGTTGAATCAACTTTCCTCCCATTCATTACATGCCACCTGTAGACCATACCTAGCAATGATGGCTGCCCCTATTAAAAGACAAATAAACTAAATATATGACCCTTTCTCTCCTAACTGGCGGTTCAGCAAAGCCAATACCAGGGCTCCACTCCATCCCTTCTCAAAGGAAGTGACTCAAGCTTTCCATGACATCCTAAGTCAATGAACTGACTTCACTGAAATGTCAGGGTATGTGGCTGTTTCTCTAAAGGCCACGTTGAAACTGAGTAATGGATCTGTAGAACTTTGTCTGCTAAGTGCAAGGATTATGAATGCATCTCTAGATGATTCTACTACTTGTCATCTTTCAAAGAATAACATTTGTCTCTCCCAATATAACATCAAAAGTCCTTTTCAAGGGGGCTGGGAAGATGGCTCAGTGGAATAAATGCTTCCCTGGCAAGCACAAGGGTTTGAATTAAATCCCCAGTTCAAAAAAAAAAAAAAAAAGTCCTTTTCAAGTACAGACATATTTTATTTTGATCCCCTCGATCACTAACTTTAATCCTCATATATTTGTTAATTTACCCGGAAGGACTGTTTCTAACAATGCCAAAGGCAATGGCCCCTGATGAACAAAACATTATTCAGCCTTCAAACAATATCTGGGTGTCCCCAAAACTGAGATGGATGATGCACCCACATGACCTGATGAAAGTTTCCTTAGGTCACCCTCTCATATCCCCTCCTCACTTGAAATCAAATACTAAGTTATTGCTTTTCTCTGTGGGTAGATTACTCACTTGGAATCCACCCTCTACTCTTGGAGAGAATCAGTAAGCTCTTCAGCTTTTCTATATTCCTTAATGATTGGTAAATTCCCCCCCCCCCTTTTTTTAACACCTGTAGCATTGGTCTCTTGTGGGCACACTGACACCGGACAGCTGCCCTCAGGGCCCTCGGCGGCGGCTGCTGGGCTTCTCTGCAGCAGATGGCCGCGCACATCAAGGGTGCATGCTGAGCACAGCGGAGCTGTCCTGCTCTGGGCCACGGGCAGAAAGAACGGATGTGCTGAGAACAGTACAAGATAGAAGCATTACCTAATCTGATCAGTTCACTTTATCAGACTTCAGTGTTTCTTCATCTTGTTTCGATGAGTGCTGAGATTAGCTCCAGAATGCCTCCCACTTGTCACATGTGTGTACTGAATGTCCCTTGTGTAATCATTGTCTTAATTTGCTCTTTGCTCTCAATCTCTCAATTCCTGGTCTTTTTTTTTTTTTTTTTTTTTTTTTTTC